TCACTAATACCATAATTCAAATGCATCAATTTCTTTTCTGATCTTTCTTGTTCATTGTCCTGCCTTCCCATTCATATGAGGTGATTGAAAATAGCATGACTTGGGTCATGTTAACCTTGGTCTTCAAACTGGTATCTTGCTCTTGAATTCTTTACAGAGAGCTTTTGCAGCAAATTTGCCTAGTGCAGAATATTGTTTGATTTCTTGACTGCTGCTTCCATGGGTGTTGATTATGGATCCAAGTAAAAAGAAATCTTTTTGACAGCTTCAGTATTTTCACTATTTATCATGATGTTACTTCTGCATACCCTTGTGAGGATTTTTTGTTTTCTTTACATTGAGGCATAGTCCCTACTGAATCTTCATCAGTAAGTTCTTAAGTCCTCTTCACTTTCAGCAAGCTAGGTTGCATATTGCACGTTGTTAATGAGTCTTCTTCCAATCCTGATGCCACATTCGTCTTCATATAATCCAGCCTCTTGATTATTTGCTCAGCTACAGACTGAAGAAGTATGGTGAAAAGATACAACCCGGACACACATCTTTTCCTGATTTTAAACCTTTCAGTATCCCCCATGTGCTGTTCAAATGACTTCCTCTTGGCCTGTATACCGGTTCTTCATGAACACAATTAAGTGTTCTGAAACTCCCATTCTTCACAATGTTATCCATAGTTTAGTTATGTAATGTTGTTGTTGTTGTTAAGTGCTATCGAGTCTGTTCCGACTCGTAGTGACTCTATATAGCGTTTCCAAGAGCAACTGATGAGTTTGAACCACTAACTGCTGTTCAAACTGACGTTACTGTCCAATGCTTATCCTACAGTGCCACACTCCTTGTGATGTAATAGTTAAATATAAATATTTTTAATAATATTTTTAATTTTAATAATTCTTTTGTTCACAGAAAATTACCACTATATGTTTAAAGGAAATACGTAGGCCTCAGTTAACTATTTCAAAGCAGTACTTTTCTGTTTGTATAGTGCTAAATTGGAGTACTGGTGTAGCACTGTGGGTTAATGCTTTAGACTGCAAAGCCGTTTTGAACCACAAGGTTGGTGATTCAAGCTCATCAGCCACTCCTTGAAAACCCTACACAGGGTTACTATGGGTTAGAACTGACTCAACAGCACTTAACAACAACAACAACAAATTGTTTAGCAAATGCTAAACAGTTTATAAGTTTTTTAATTCAGTATTAATTTGCTCTTGTTTGTAGGTTTGTGGTATAGTTGTATTTGTGTTCATTACTAAGTTACAGATTGGGAAGCTCAAGTGGAAAGAGATTTTTTTATTTATTTGCCCAAGAGCAAATAGTTAGCATAGGAGTATCCAAATTAGAGTCTATGTCTTAGAACTCTAGGTCCAGAGTTAGTTTTCATTCTGCTGCACTGGTTAGAAATTGAACCTGCGGGGCTAGAAACTCAAGCATAACTAGGTGCCAAGTTACTTTTGCATTGAAGAGTTGTTAGGGTAGCATCTTAATTTTGCATTGTGTGTGGATGCTGTGACAGTAGCATTTTTTTTCTGAGGGGTTTGGTGCAAATTATCAAATGAAATTTTTATTAATCATCAGTCACCCCATCCCACAGATAATCCTTACTTGAGAAGGACCTTCAGAGGAGTGTAGCTGTTCCTACAATTCATAATAGACCAAATGCAATACTCAACTCTTAGGTTACTGATCACAAGTGTGTGTCATACTTTGGGCATCATATTCTTAGTTTGTTTTCATGTTAAAGTAGTAGTCAGAGGACAGGCATCAAGAAAATACTTCAACCTTTGAATTCATTTGCAGATGCCAAGATATTCAGCATCTCAGTGACATCTAAAACAGTTTCTAGTATTTTCTTTGAGGTGAAGGGAAGGTGAGTGGTCCTTTCTGTGCTTCTGAAACACGGGGAAACCCCTGTAAAAGCTGATCAACTGATTGGTTGGGCCTGTGCCCTCCCCCTCTAGTCTGAGAAGGATGGCATTGGGCTTTTCTGCTTCTGACTTCTTGTTACTCTTCTTTTGTGGTAGTACTAAAGGTATTTCAACCATGGTTTCCTCTTTTTGGGTGGAAGAAACTGATATGACTGTAGGAAGGTGGAGGGAAATAAAGAGACAAGAAAAGTCATGTCAGAAGACCAACTATTTTAATTGCAAGTTGACTGTGGTGTTCCCTGAGACTATGGTTTTGAGTTTCCAGTCCAGTGACTCATTCCCTCAAGATTATGTCTAAGATTTTTATAACTTAACAACCTTTTATGTTTACTTGTTTAAATGTTCAAGAAATTTTTCAAGCTATCAAGCTTTTGAACATCATGCCATTTAATGTAGCATAGTCCTGTTGTGGAAAAACTGGTTTTGATGATTTAGTATTTTGTATTCTTAATGCATTAAATGTCATTAATCCAGTATTTTTGGTTATTCCTTGTTTGTTTTAAAGGATTTTCATTCTTTCATTGGGCGCATACATACATGAGAGGGCTTCAAAGAAGTTGATGGGAAAATTCAAATTCACCAGCTGATTGTATGATTCTTGGTTGGCAATTTTTTTCTGGTTTTTATATATGTCATCACAATGTCATTTTTAAAAAAAAATTATAATTTTTTAAAACTTTTTTGAATTGAGTGAAGGTTTATAGACAAGATCACCAATTTTACATTCAACAAATAATTTGTTATTGTTAAGTGCTGTACCTACATATCTACTGCTTGAATGACAGTGGGACCCTGAGGGTAAGTTCCTTTCCAGACCTGAAGGGTGGTCAAAGGCCGTGGTCTCAGGTTCCTCTAGTCTCTTTCTGACCAATAAGCCCAGTCTTTTTCAAAAACTAATTTTGGGTTTTGTTCCATATATTTTGCTGCTCTATCTGGGACTTTCTAATGTAATCCCATTCAGAACAGTTGGTAGTGGTAGGTAGCTGGGCGCCATCTAGTTCTGGTCTTAGAATCATGGAGACTGATGTTCAAATGTTATATTAGTCCGTTGGACTAATTGATTCCAAGCCTCTCCAGTTCTCATCACTCTTCTTTCTTCTGCACATGAAGAGACCAATTAGCTGCATCCTAGATGACTGCTCATGAGCTTTTAATATTCCAAGACGCTGCTCACTAAAGTAAGATGTGGAACATTGTCTTTGTGGACTGTGTTATGCAATTTGATCATGGTGTCCCCTGAGACTATGGTCCTAAGCCCTCAGGCTCAGCTACTCCTTGCTTTAAGATGTTTGATGATATATAAGATGTTCTTATCACTTTGCCTACTGTGTATGTGCCACCACATTCAAAGTTGTGCTTTCATGTGGACTTTTTAAAAGAGTGGATGAAGGTGATGGAATATTTACGTTCCAAACCCAGGGGCTGAAAATGCGGTAGTACTCAGTAGAGCTTCAGGTTACTGTTTTTTGTGTTAGGTTCAGTGTTTCTATGTATCTTCTACATTTTTCAGGTATATGAAATAGTAGTCTTTCTTTCTAAAATTGTTGAAATAATTGAAAAAGAAAAAAGGTAACTTTTTGAGTTGCTGTCTTCTTCTCTAGGCCAAATATTTACCAACCTTAATGATATATGTTGTTGTTAGTGCCTTCGAGTCGGTTCCGACCCATAGCAACCCTGCACAGGGTTCCCAAGGCTGTAAATCTTTATGTGAGCAGAAAGCCTCATCTTTCTCCCGCGGAGCAGCTGGTAGTTTCGAACTGCTGACCTTGAGGTTCACAGCCCAATTCGTAACCACTACACTACCAGAGCTCCTTAGTTATTAATAAGTCTTAAAATCAACACTATATTTAGACCACTAAATATGTATAGAGGTTATATAGAAATGTTATGTACATTTTAGAAGTTAGAATTCTCCCCCCTCCAAATTTAGGACTTTCATTCCTGTTATTTAATTTTTGTCTCTGTTTATATATGCCACCTGCATTGTGTGTCTAAATGTTTACATATATATATGAATGAAAAGGGGAGTCCCAGTGTGGCACTGTGGTTTAATGCACCAGACTGCAAAGCCATTTGAACTGCTCCTTAGAAACCCTACGCAGGCTTGCTATGGGTCTGAACGAGACTCGATGGCACTTAACAACAACAACAAGAGAAAGGGAGAAAGCAGAATTTTCATGAGAAAACAACAAAAGGTTTCTATGGCATGTGTATGTTGTACCTGGACATAGCATTTGTCCAGGTGGAGAGATATAGTGCTTTAGAAAGCTAAAATAGTGATCAGTCTCTGGACAATCTAACATGACTTGTTGAAGAGTTTGACTTTCATTCTATAGGCTTATCAAAACCACTCAAGGTTTTTGAGGATAAAAATGAGATGATGTGACTTGATTTTAGGAGAATTCTTTGGTGGCAGTGTTAAAAAAGAAATAGAAAGAGACAGTTCATAAATAAAACCTCTAACTCATTTAAGATTGGTAACATTGAGCTAATAGCTTTAGATACCGTTTTTCCTTTAGGTCTTTGACATTTTACCTTATTTAGTGAGGCTTTTTCAGATCACTGGTAGCGTAGTGGTTACGAATCGGGCTGCTAATCTCATGGCCAACAGTTCAAAACTACCAGCTGTTTCGCGAGAAAAAGATGAGGCTTTCTGCTCCCGTAACGATTTATAGCCTCGGAAACCCTGTACAGGGTTGCTATGAGTTGGAACCGACTCCACGGCACATAACAACAACAATATAAAACAACCTTTTCCCTCCACCCTACATTCCATTTTCCTCCATAGCACTTAGTACCACCAGTTATATCATATACATACATATGTTTATTTATTGTCAGTTTTCCTCTACAAGATTGTAAGCTTCATGAGATCAAGGTCTTCCCAGTGCTTGGAACAGTCCCTGGTTTAAAATGTTTAAAAAATATTTGTTAAATGTATGACTATTTAAATTAAGATGGCCACAGATTTTTTTTTTTTTTTAAGAGTGAGATTTATAATGTGTGGAGAGCAGTAGAAGATTCCTTCCTAGGAAGACCCATTAAAAGTGTTTTCTTTTTCATTTCTTCCAGAGTTTATATTCAGAGCACCAATCAAATTAAGCAAGCCTGGGGAACTTCGTGAAGAATATGAAAGCCTGAGAAAGGTATAGAAGACAAATTCTCATGACATTAATTTTCTTAAATGAAACTAATGACATTAGAGAATGCTTATTGGGGAGCACGGTTCTACTCTGCAGCACATCGGGTTGCCATGAGTCAGAATCAGCTCTACTCCATAGTAACTGGTTTGACTCAATTTTGGAGTCCTGGTGTGGCGCTGTGGAATAAAGCACTGGACCGCAAGGTCGGTTTGAACCATAAGGTCAGTACTTTAAACTTACCAGCCACTCCTTGGAAACCCTATACAGGGTGAGTCGGAACCTACTCAACAGCACTTAAGAACAACAACAGCAACTTTAAACTGCAATGGGCTCAAACATAACAATTGTGAGCATGCTGCAGGACTGGACAGTGTTTTGTTTGTACATGGAGTTGGTATGAGTTGGAACTAACTTTATGGCCCCTGACAACAATAGCCTTATACTCTGCCCAATTTGAATGAATAACTCTAATGGAACTAGAGTAAACCTCAACTAAGAACTCCTTTTTAGCCATCTTTTCAAAGGCGAAAATGTAGCTCACAGGGCCTGTCACACACTTGATATAGTAAGTGTTCACCAAGAGAGGTGTTCTTGGCACTTTTCATAAGTGCCTTTAGTAGGTTGCATTATTTTTCCTTATTTTGCAAGGTTCCTCAAATTACATGTAGCTAGTATTATCTTTTACTGTGTTCACTCTGTTGAGTACTACAGAAGGAAGTGTAACTTAGGCCTGTAAGGGAGCAATTCCTAGTTGGAGAACATTAGCCAGTGGGAGAACCTTCAGACTGTGTCTGTATTGTTGCATTTTTGATGCTTTCATACTAATTGGGAATCATCTAGAGAATTAAGACTTCAAGATGACTACAAGTGATTACAAGTATGCTACTGGATTTGAATAATTTTCCCCAGCACTCTCTCTGTACCACTAACTGTCATCCATCTTTATAATTTATTAGGTAATCATTCTGCATGTAAATATTTGAATCCACTTAATCTGAATCAGGCATCATCATAGCAGAAGGAAGATAATAATGTAACTGGAGCATTTTGTACAGAATGAAAAAAGGATATTTAATGTCATGTTACAAAGAAAATACAGATAGTAGAAAACTGAACTTAATTACTATGTAGTCTTTCACCTTTCCCTTTTTCCCTTCTTTGGGTTAATGTGGATTTTTTTCTTTGACCTTGCCTTCTAAGTGAGGGTGTCAGATGTTCACTTAGAACCTCAATATCTATTTATACTTGTCTTGTATATTTATTTATTTTTTTAAAACGATTTCTACTTAGAAAGAAATTACTTTCAGGGACCACATCAAAAGAACCACAGGTTTCTCTTAAAGAAAATTTCACAATATGCAAATATTTACTTCTAATTACACCTTTTCAGAAACTTGGCAAATATGGAAATTTTAAGATTTTAACTTTGAAGGTAATCTTAAAGAGGGAAATAAGCTTTTGGAGGTAGAAGAAGGTGGTAAAGCCAAAGGTATATTAAGAGCAGAGGCTTTTATAAGCCTTGTTGTTGTTAAGTGCCATGGAGTTGATTCCAGCCCATAGTGACCCGGTATAGCGTTTTCAAGGAGCAGCTGGGTGAACTTGAACCACAGGTCTCCCAGTTCAAAGTAGACTTTGCAGTCCAGTGCATTTACCACACCAGGACTCCTTTATAAGCCTTAGGAGAGAGAAAGAAACCTTGGCAACTGTACTTTTGTTCTTGATAAGAAGAAGGGCTGAGAAGCTGATTTTAAAAGGGGCTGATGGCATGATGTTGTGTGAAGCTAGGGTGATCTCATCAGGTATGCAGGTTTGAGAAATGTCAATTGGGTTAAAGAAAAGTTAGCTAAAAGTCCCTTCTTGCTCCGAAGTATGCAAGTTATTCTTCATCCATCGTTCACTTCTAGAAAATTATAATCCAAGTCATAAAATCCAAAGGCACTAACATGGTATGTCCACACAATGGAATGCTATTCAGTAATAAAAAGTAATGATCCACTGATAACATGCTGACATTTGGATGAACCTGAAAAAGTTGCTAAGAGAAAGAAGCAAGACACAAGAAACTACGTACTGTATGATTAGATTGTAAAATGCCCAGAAGAGACCAATCCTAGAGACAGATAATAGGTTGCTGGTTGACTGGACTAGGAGGTGGGAATGGGGATTAACAGTAAATGAGCATAAGGGATTTAATAACAGTGATGAAACTAATTTAAGGTATATCTGGCAACTTGTTAAATTTACTAGAAATTGTTAAATTATGTGGTTGGAAAGGGTGAATTACAGGATATATAAAATATACCTTAATAAAGTTGCAAAAAATATAAAAGGTACTAAACATTTGGATGGAGTCCTGGTATGGTGCCATAGGATAAACACTAGGGTCGCTATGAGCCAGAACTGACTTGACAGCACTTAACAACAAGAACAGATATTTAATAGAGAAAAAGATAAGAATGTATGTCTTCTAAAAGCCAAGTAAAGTTATAATTACCTGGATTGATCCCTATTGTTGTTAATTGTCATCAAATCAATTTGGACTCATTGCAATACAACACTTTGTATGTAAAGTAGAACTTTGCAGGGTTTTCCATGTTTTGGATGCAATCACCAGTCCTGTGGATTTAAACCACAAACTTTTTGGCTAGTGATGATGGTTATGTGCCGTGGAGTCAGTTCCAACTCATAGTGACCCTGCATAGGGTTTCCGAGGCTGTAAATCTTTACGGGAGCAGAAAGCCTCATCTTTTACTTGCAGAACCGCTGGTAGTTCTGAACTGCTGACCTTGAGGTTAGCGAACCGATTCGTAGCTACTATGCTACCAGAGCACCTTAGTCGTTAGCACCACTCAGGGACACCTGATGAATCCCTGGAGGAAGAATATCTGTGTTAAGACTTTCTACTGAGAAGGGCAATAAGTGGGAGTTAATTCTATGTAGCTTATCTCAGCAATTATGTATAACACATGACAAATATACTTTTTGTTTAGTTGTTGTTACTGTTGTTAAGTGCCATCGAGTTGGTTCCGACTTTACAGCAACTCTCTTAAAGAGTTTTCGAGGGGTGGCTGGTGAGTTTGAACCACTTTTGTTTAAGTGCCAATAAAAGCTATTATAAGGGTTGTAAAAAGTTAACAAGGAAATTTATTCCCCTTATTTTAGTTATTGTAAAAGGTTTTATTTGGTCATAAATTCTCCTACCCATGGGGGACTTCAGGAACAAACAAGTTTGGAGTGGGGAATGGGACGACTAGGGAAGAAAGAGAGTTCTTTTAGAAACTGAACCAGGTTGTAGGGAGCTACTAAAGACAGGGAGATGTGACAAGATTTACAGTTTTAATTATTTTTAAGTATATGATTTAGCAACATTAATTATATTTACCATGTTGTACAACTGTCACCACTAGAAGTCTCCCAAAAGTGTTCTGTACCCTTTAAGTAATAACTCTTCGTTTCTCTCTAACCTGAACCCTGGTAACTGTTAGTAAGCTTTGTTCTTTATACATTTTCCTATTCTGGATATTTCATCTAAGTGGGCTTATAACAATATTTGTCCTTTTGTGTCTGACTTATTTAACTCACCATAATGTTATCAAAGTTCATTTATCTTTTTGTTGTTATTGATTTATCTTTGTTGTTGTTGAGCAGCTGGTGAGCTTGAACGGCTGACCTTGGATTCAAAGCGACTTTGCAGTCCAGAGCATTAACTCACAGCAACACATTATGGATGAATAATATTCAGGGGGAGTTCTGGTGTGGCACTATAGGATAAACACTGGACTGCTAACCTCAAGATCAGTGGTTCAAAACCACCAACCGGTCCTTGGAAACCATATATAGGATCTCTATGATTCAAAACCAACTTATTGGCACCTAACAACAACAGTCCATATTCAGGGATCCCTGGTGGGGAAGTGGTTAAAGTACCTAGCTGCTAACTAAAAGGTCTGCAATTTAAACCTACCAGGTTATATATACCACATCTTGTTCATCTATTTATCTATTGATGGACACTTGTACTATTTCTGCCTTTTAACTATTGTGAATAACACTGTATTGAACATTATATCAGTTTTGGGTCTCTCTTTCAAGTCTTTTGTGTACAGACTTAGGAATGGAATTGATGAGTCGTATGGTAGGTCTGTGTTTAACTTTATGTTATTGTTAAGTGTCGTTGAGTCAGTTCCTACTCATAGCGACCCTGTGGAGGGTTTCCGAGGAACAGCTGGTGAACCTGAACCACTGAACTCACAGTTCAAACTGACCTTGCCAGTGAACATAGCCAGTGTCACAATGTGTAGCGCATCAGCCCACAGCACTTCACCAGGACTTGTTAATTTTATGATGAACCACAAGACTTTTCCAGTCACTGCACTGTTTTACCTTGCCACCAGCAATGTAGAAGGTTTCCAGTTTCTTCATATCCTCACCAGCTTTTGTTGTTTTCCTTTTTTGAGGGCTAATAGGCATTGTAATGACCGTGACCACTTTGTTGTGGTTTTGATTTACGTTTCCCTAATGACTATGAGTCAGAACTGACTGAACAACACTTAACAACAACAAATGACTAGACTGCTCCTTAGAAGTCAGGATGGTGAGATTTTGTCTCTCATACTTCAGATCTGTTGTAAGAGGAATGAGTCCCTGGAGAAGGCCATCATGCTTGGTAAAGTGGAACAAGAAAGAGAAAACCCCCTAAGGAGATGGATTGACATAGTGGCAGTAGCAGGGGGCTCAAATGTAACAACACTTGTTAGGATGGGCCAGACCGGGCAGTGTTTTGTTGTATTATGCATAGGGTCGCTATGCATTGGAACCAACTTGATGGCACTTCATAACAGTGACTAATGATGTTGAGCATCTTTTCCTGACTTATTGGCTATTTGTATATCTTCTTTGGAGAAATGTCCTTTTTAAAAATTGGGTTGTCTTTTTGTTGAAATGTAGAACTTCTTTATATATATTCTGGTTATTAAACCCTTATCAGATATTCTGTTTCCAAA